TAATTAATTGGTATTTGGAAGTACCAAGTAGTTAACCTGTTTAATAATTTGAGAATATTAGTATCCTGTTTTCCTTGTTCTTTTTGTATAAGGACCCCCAATTTTTTGTCATTTTGTCTTATATATTTCTCGTAAGTTATAGGGCCTGTGGTGCCTGAGTCGTCTTGCTCTTGGAACTCCCGTCTCCCGTCTGCAGGCCCCCAGCCCTCACCTCTGATGCATCTCTTGGCACCCAGGCTGTCTGGCTGCTTTATAGTGACCCTGGGCACAGGCCTTTACAAAGCAAAGCAAGCCCTGGAATTTTAAAATTTCTCAAGGGGTCAAAAAATTTTTATCCCCTTGAGAAACTTAATTTCTCAAATTCTTCACTATTAAATTTAAAAATAATTTTTATTAATTACAAAAAGTATAAACATATAGGGAAAGCATTATATCGTCTCCATACAGAGTCATGAAAACCTGAGCACGAGCGGACTCCTGTCAGCCCCGCCCGCCCTGCCTGGGCACATTCACACCGTTCACTCCTCGGCTCCTGCCACGCCCGTGTCACCGCCACGCTGGATTCACGCGGCACCTGAAACCTTTCCACTCAACATGTGCCCTCCCCCTTTCCTTTTATTAACGTCATAAGTTTGTTTCTTACAGCAACTCTCACAAGGGGCGTATGCTCATTAATCAGTTTCATTTAAGTGCTTTTTATGCATTAAATCTTTTTATTTTAATGACATACTTCTAAAGAAGTAATGCTTTTTAACTTTCTATTGACGGAGTGTGATATTTAAGTACGATGTTTATTTGAGAATATTAACTAATAAAAATGCAGGGCAAAGCCTCAAACTCTTTCTGAGGCGGCGGTCCCTTTGTGCTGCAGTGTTAAGGACACTGGATGACCAGGAATTACAGTCTCCTGCGTTCTATCTGTCGTGCGCCAGGGACTGGGCAGGTATGGATTGTTACTGTCGCAGTTTACGGTCAACTGACTTTCTGTTGGCCTTCATTTTCAGTGCACAATTTGATGTAAAGAAAAATTTCTCTTTCCATATATGTCACGTCACTTTGTTTCCATTTCTAGGGAAAAATCTAAGGAATATGAGATGACACCTGCTTACTCTGGGTGGATTTTCTGAAACTGGAGCTCAGTTTTAGCCTTGGCAGTGCAGATGTTTTTGGCCTGTGCATGGTTTTGGAGGCTGTTGAAACCACTTTTGTTGCTGCTCTTTCTTGAGGAGTCAGTTGGCTTATAAAGAGATAGGAAAAATACTTTGTGTTTTAATTTCATACACAACAGTACAACACAGAACTCTTCTGTGGCCAGATGTGTGTGGGTTTTCCCCCCACACAGCAAGCACGCAATTCTGTAGGGATTGTCTAGTGGACACCAGCCGGGTGTCCTCTAATTCCCACCTGGAGATGGCGTCAGGTCCCACAGGTCGAGGGCTTAGTCCCCCAAGACTGCCCGCATTTCAGGTCCCGGTTGTAAGTAGTAGGTTGTCACCTGTACTTCTGACTGGCAACAAACATATCAGTGCTTTCCACAACCTCCTCCTTGGTTTTGGTTAATTTGCTGGAGCATTCGCAGAACTCAGGGAAATACTTTACTTATATTCACCCATTTATTATAAAGGATATTACAGAGGATACAAATGAACAGCAGATGAAGAGATGCATAGAGTGAGGCATGGGGGAAGGGCGCGGAGTGTCCGTGTCCTCTCTGGACCACCCTCCCAGTGTCTCCTCATGTTCAGTATCCAGAAGCCCATCCAAACCTTGTCAATTAGGTTTTTATGGAGGCCTCATTCAGTAGTCACAATTGATTAAATCATTGGCTGTTGGTGATGGGCTTAACCTTCTGTCTCTGTCCACTCCCAGCAGGTTGGGGATGGGGCTGGAAATCTAAACCCGTTAATCCTGCCTTGGTCTTTCTGGAGACCAGCCCCCATCGTGAAGCTACCTAGGGTCCCCCAGCCACCAGTCATCTTATTAGCATGCTAAAGATACTCGTATCACTCTGGAGATGCCAAAGGTTCTAAGGGCTGTGCGTCGGAAACAAGGATGAAGACCAAATATGTATTTCATAATATCACAGTCTCTAGCAGCTGCTTGGTGCGTGCCTTCAGCACTCACAGCAGAGAGAGCATACCCACTCTTTCTCTGCCGCTGCTCTCTCCAGCTCAGAACTCTTTGTAATTCTTCCCCGTAGCTCTGTAGGACTGCACTTGTTTATTTTATTTCTTTAAAGTATCAAACAAAAGAGGTTAATAATAAAAGTAGGCAAAATGTCAGGTTTAATGTCGTAGAGGGGGAGGAGGCAGTGAAAACCCTCGAGGTCTGTCCCAGGGTGGTAAGGATGTTACGGAGCAGCACTGATGTGCTGCCGATCTTTGTTTCGGATGAGCAGTGTGACAGTGAAGTCTCTGATAGGAAAATGTGTGTAGAGTGCCATGGAAGCGTGAAGGAAGGGACATTTGAGCCATGGAAGACAAGTGGGGGCTAGCTTGGCATTGCAGGTGGAGCTGCAGCTTCTGTACACGTAGAATCTTGCATGGCAATGACTTCTCGGAGGCTTTAAATAGTTTGGGGCTGGAACAGAGTATCTTTCTGAGGTTGGATAAAAGACTAGACAGGTGGGCAGAACCTAGTTCTGGGAGCCTCCCATGGCATGCTTAAAGTTTATTCTATTTTTATCCTGAAGGTGGAATAAGTTTTAAATACGGAACTAGCATAACTGTGTTTGCGTTTTAGAAAGATCACCCTATAGGAAATGTGGAAGATGCATCAGAAGGCTGCAAATTGCAGGTGAAGACCAATTGGGCACTTCTTGCTGGCGAGAAATGATGGGACCCAGAACTCTGGCAGTAGAAAAGGGATGGGAACTTAGAGATTTGTGAGCTGTCAGGACTTGGAAAATAATTGGATATAAGGGCATCTGAAAGGAGAACATCTGGGACTTGGTGAATGGAGGTGCTCCTGACTGAAATAGAATCTGTTACAGAAGGAGAATTGAGAAGACATGGGATTGGCATGATAAAGCATAAAGTGGGTATGTCTAATAGGCTGGTGGCTGTATAGACATAGTTTGGAGAGAAATTTGGGTTTGCGCTAGAGATTTGGACATCATTGGTATTATAGGTAGTAAAATTTGTAGATGAGAATGAGACCTCCTGGATAGAGCTTGTATTGAGAGAAGAAAAAGGCTGAGAAATACCGGAGGCAGATGGAAAGGTGAGGGACCCAGCAGGCTGTTGGTGATCAGCTTAAACCTGGAATTGAGTGGATCTGAGGGAGGAGGCGTCCAGGGTGAATGTCTCTGACCTCCAGGGACAATACATCTAATAGGGACTGAATGTTGTCCACAGGCTGTGGGACAACACTGCGATGTTGCCAGTAACTGGGGCAGGAACAGCCTCGGTGGGTTGGAGGTGAGTGGGTCCGGGCACCGTGGATTTACTGTATTCCCCCCACAAGCTACTCTGTAAAGGATGAGCTGGAGGGCCTTAGCAAGGCCTAAGGAAAGGTTTCCATGGGAGACACTTGAAATTGGAGAGGTCCGGATTGAGAGAGTCTGGAAATAGATAATCTCTCTAGCCAAGTTTTTAGGAGGAAAGATGGGTGGAGAGAGGATAAAGAAGTGGTTCCGTTTTACTTGTAGCTTGAGATGACCTTGGGAACCACTCAGATTAACTTGTCATCGTATTACTTTATTGATTTTTCTTTTCTTTTTTTTTCCAGATCAATTTACTAGATACTGTTTATACATTACTCTCATTTACACAGTAAAGCTGACATAGCTGTCTGTTATTTTCTTTGCATAGAGTGCTGGAAAGCACATTTTGATTTTGTCCTGTCCTTTTAAGTCCCTACCTCCCCCTAACTGTTCAAACAGGTACAGATAGTGAAATACGACCCAAAGCAAGCCCATCTACCCTTGTTCTTCCAGGCGTGCTCCTGCCTCTGGCGGCAGTTGCATGTATGTGCTCCTCCCCAGCCTTTTCAGGCTTGATCTCAGAATAAATCTGATGAACTCCTATGCATGTGAATAAGTAAGGCTTAGTGTACTCCAGCAAACTTGTGTATTTTAAAATGGGTCAAGGAGTGAGCCTCTGTTTGGGACATTTCACGTATCAGAATACCCATGAAAGAGAGAGATTTTGGGGGATGGTCGTTTTTAAAATCCACATTCTGTTTATATATTAAGGTTGGCCAGCCTAGCTTCACATTCCTACAGTCAAAAATGAAATTAATAGAAAGCGTTCTGCTTCACTGAATAATATAACCAGTTACTTTTTGAGCTAGTTATAAAAATGAAATCTGTATATTCTAATTTACAAAAGTCGTGCTAATACTCTGTTTCTAGACTCACGAAAGTCTGTTAATAGCTTTGAGTTCTGTGACTGGTCGACCCCTTCCCAGTCGTGCTTCTGGGCAGGCCTTAGGGCGCCTTGCCGCTGAGTGGCAGAGCCTGCTGGTTTGCCAGCTCCGTTCGCAGTGCAGTGCTGCCGCCCGAGTGCCAGGGCTTGCAGGCCGATGCCACAGCAAGTGCTTTTTCTTTCTTGTCTGGGCAGATGTCACTCCTTTGAACGAGACTCTTTCATTCTGAGCACTGGAGTAAAGGATCATAAATTTCACAATTATACATAAGTCATTTCAACTTGAAATTTGTACAAACCAAACATCTTGTAGAAAACTTTAGGCTCTAAGATTAAGAGGTCATAGGACTATGATTCCATTAATTTAACAAAAAATATTTACGAAAGTATTTAAATAATATGGAAAGGTTTAAAGACACTGCACACTTATGTGATGGAACACTATACAATCATTATATAATGTTTTAAAGAATTACGGAGATGCTTATATTTTGTTAAAGGCAAAGGGGTACACAAGTCTGTATATGATGATATCTCATTTAAAAAATACATTCACAGAAAAAAGTTTACAGTGAATCACACAGTGAGGTAATGATCTTATTGAAGGAGGATAACATTTGCTTTGCATTTCAGCTAATCTTCCAGTGCCGACGATCGCAGCGATAGACGGACTCGCGTTAGGTGGTGGTCTCGAACTGGCTTTGGCGTGTGATATACGAGTAGCAGGTGAGAATTCATCCTGTTAAAAACATAATTTTTTAAGAATGAAGTTTGTGTTTATTCTTCAGATAATTGCAAATATTTTATTCTGCTTCCTGTTGTTTAGTGGAACATTTTTTTTAAAAGTCACCTGTTGGGCTTTATAGTGTATTTAAAATTCTCACTTACAAAAGCAGTCTTTCATTGTTTCTTGCCAGAATTTGAGTCAGATAGAATTGAGTTTGAACCATAGGTCCTGCCCTTTTTAGACATGTTTCTTTCTCTTTAGAGGGAACGGGGGGGGGAAATGACTTTTGGTGTTGTGCAGATTAAGTGACTTTATCTATGGATGTGCTTAGGCCAAGGCTAATCACTGTTGGGTACAGGGATAATAACTCAATCCTTGAAGTTCTTTCTTTCTCAGTGGTCTCTGAGGACTGTGTGAGGTGGATGTGCTCTCACTGCCCGCGGGCTGGTGCTGAGGGCCCTTCTGCGCTTGACTGGTGCTCAGTCCCTCCGTCTCCCTCACAGTTGCAGGAGTGGGTGCTTTCAGGTGCAGGAGGAGGCTGGAGCAGAGAAAGGGGCAGCAACAAGCCCCAGAGAAGTGACTGGCTGGACCATGAGCCCAGGCTGCCTGGCATCGCAGCCCTCACTGTTTCGCTGGAGCAGTGTGTGCTGCTCTGCCATGGGTTGCTTTTGTTTGAGACAGAGTCTCGCTCTGTCACCTGGGCTAGAGTGCCGTGGCATCATCACAGTTCACAGCAACCTCAAACTCCTGGGCTCAAGCTATCCTCCTGCCTCAGCCTCTAGAGTAGCTGGGACTACAGGCACACGCCACCACGCCTGGCTAATTTTTCTCTTTTGTGTAGAGACGAGTCTCGCTCTTGCTCAGACTGGATCTGCCGTGTATTGTTGTGGACACTGTACTTCATAGTCTCGGCTCTGCCAGCGTCCTCGCTGTCCAGACTGAGACATGGGCATTACAGACAGAGGTGTCACTGTTCTTCCTTCGGTTCCCACTGTCACTTCCAATGTGATCTCATATTAAAAGTTGAGTCAACATAATTCAGTTTTTAATTTTCTGTGACAGTTTCTTGGGATTTGGAGCTGCCAGTCTAGGTATACTTTTTCCTCCTTTTCACTTATTTCAGGTCCCTGTTTTCTTGTGATGAAATCACTGGGTTTTAAATTGAAAAGATAAGATATTATGTAATCCATTTCTAAAAGAATGCAGGATCTGAGAATTAGGATATGGAAAGTAGTTTAAGTACATTTGGCTATGCAAATAAAGAAATAATTAAGATATTTTAAAGTAGCTATGAAAACAAAATGAAAAGAGGAACCCCATCCAGCTCAGAATGGTAAAACCATTTGTCAGAAAGTAGCTAGAGACTTAGTCTTGAAAAGTTGCCGTATCTGATATGATATACTAAGCCGTTTGGTCTGGGGGTCTATATTAAGGCCACTAAAGAATTCATACTTGTCAGACACAGCCTCTCTCCTCATCCTGAATAATTAATGGGATCTAATCCTTCAACTAGGACTGGGCAGTATCAGGTCTTATAATGTAGTTTCAGCTGTGGTCTTTCTGCATCAAAAATCAATTCACTGCCAAGCAATTTTTCACAAAAAATGTTGTGTGACTCTCCTAATGTATGTTATTTTGAGTATTTATTTCCATAACTGAATGCTTTTTGAAGTGAATTTTTAAAAATTTGTGCCACCAATTTAATTAGTAAACAATACTTTCATTGTATCTTCTTAACTTTTCAAGTAGTCACATTTGAGTGTGATGATATGGATGGTACTAAATTTTCTTTCTTTCCTTTTAGCTTCGTCTGCAAAAATGGGCCTGGTTGAAACAAAGTTGGCAATTATTCCTGGTGGAGGTATGAGTTGTTCACCGTTCATCTCTCAGTACCCTTGATTTGTTCTTAGAAACACGACATAAGGCAAAAACACATTAATTAGAAAAGCAGCGTTTTAGGTAAAGAGACGAATGCTGTATTGTTTGCTCCTCTGGCAGAGTCCCTATTCAAATATAGGCACACCTCAGAGATATTGCCAGCTTGGTTCCAGACCACCGCAATAAAGCAAATGTTGCAATAAAGTGATTCGCACAGATTTTTTGGTTTCCCAGCACATGTAAAAGTTACGCTGACAGTATACTGTAGTCTGTTAAGTGTGCAGTAGCATTATGTCTAAAAATATACTGCAGATGCCTTAATTTAAAAATATTTGATTGCTAAAAAATGCTAACGATGAATCATCTGAGCCTTTAGGGAGCCACAGTCTGTTGCAGTGGGTCTTGCCTCAGTGTTGGTGGCTGCTGGCTGGGAAGGGTGGTAGTAGCTGAAAGTTGGGTTGGTTGTGGCACTTTCTTCAAATAAGAACAATGAAGTTTGCTGCATCGATTGACTCTTTCTTTCACAAGAGATTTCTTTGTGGCTTGTGATGCTGTTTGATAGCACAGTAGAACTTATTTCAAAATTGGAGTCAATTCTCCCAAACCCTACAACTACTTTATCAACTAAGTTTATATGATACTCTGACTCCTTTTTGTCATTTCAAAAATGTTCACAGCATCTTCACCAGGACTAGATTCTGTCTCAAGAAACCACTTTCTTTGCTCATCCGTAAGAAACAAATCCTCATCTGTTCAAGTTTGATCATAAAATAGCAGCAATTCAGTCTTACCTTTGGGCACTTCTAATTCTAGTTCTCTCACTGTTTCCACCACATCTGCAGCTACTTTTTCCACTGAAGTCTCGAACTCCTCAAAGTCATCTGTGGATGTGGGGATTAACTTCTTCCAAACTCCTTTTAAGGTTGATATTTTGACCTCCTCTCATGAATCACAAATGTTCTTAATGGCACCTAGAATGGTGAATCCTTTCCAGAAGGTTTTCAATTTACTTTGCCCAGATACATCAGAGAAATCACTATCTTTGGTAGCTATAGCCTTATAAAATGTATTTCTTAAATAAGACTTGAAAGTAGAAATTACTTCTTGATCTATGGGCTACAGAATGGATGTTGTCAGCAGGCATGAAAACATTAAATCTCCTTGTTCCTTTCCATCAGAGCTCTTGGGAGACTAGGTGCACATTGCCAGTGAGCAGTAGTATTTTGTAAGGAATCTTCCGAGCGGTAGGTCTCAGCAGTGGGCTTAAAATATTCAGTAAACCATGCTGTAAAGAGATGTGGTGTCATCTAGGCTTTCTTGTTCCATTTATAGGGCACAGGCTGAGTTGATTTAGCATAGTTTTCAAGGGCCCTAGGATTTTTGGAATGGTAAAGGAGTCACCAGCTGCATTAGTCCTTAACAGTAGAGTCAGCCTGTTCTTTGAAGCCAGTCATTGACTTCTCTTCTCTAGCTATGAAAGTCCTGGATGACATCTTCTTTCAAGAGAAGGCTCTTTTGTCTACATTGAAAATCTGTTGTTGAGTGCAGCCGCCTTCATCAGTGCTCTGAGTAAGGTAGACCTTCTGGATAACTTGCTGCAGCATCTCCATCAGCATTTGCTGTTTCACCTTGTACTTTTATGTTATGGAGACGGCTTCTTTCCTTAAACCTCATGAACCAACCTCTGCTAGTTTCCAACTTTTTTTCTACAGCTTCCTCACCTCTGTGTCTTCTAACTTTAGAATTAAAGAGAGTTAGGGCTTTGCTCTGGATTAGGCTTTGGCTTAAGGAAATGTTGTGGCTAGTTTGATCTGCTATTCAGATCACTAAAACTTTCTTCACATCAGGGATAAGGCTGTTTCACTTTCTTATTGTTCATGTGTTCACTGCAGTAGCACTTTCAATTTCCCTTAAGTACTTTCCTTTGCATTCACAGCTTGGCAAACTGGTGCAGGGCCCAGCTATTGGCCTGTCGTGGCTTTCAACATGCCTTCCTCACTAAGCTTAATCATTTCTAGTTTTTGATTTCCAGTGAGAGATGTGTGATTCTTTCTCTCACTTGAACACATAGAGGCCATTGTAGTGTTACTAATTGGTCTAATTTCAATATCCTGTGTCTCTGGGAATAGGGAGGAGAAGAAGAAGATGGGGAAACAGCCGGTCAGTGGGGCAGTCAGGACACACACAACATTAAGTTCACTGTCTTATGGAAGTGGTTTGTGATGCCTCAAAACAATTACGGTAGTAACGTCAAAAATCCCTGATCACCGTAACAAATCTAATAATAATGAAAACATTTGAAATAGTATGAGAATTACCAAAATGTGAAACAGAGACGCAAAGTGAGCACGTGCTGTTGGAAAAATGACACCGATAGATTTTCTGGACACAGGGTTACCGCAGACCTCAATTTGTAGAAACCCAGTATCTGTGAAGCACAGTAAAGCAAAGCACAATAAAACGAGGTACGCCAGCGTGCTCTCCCTGAGCTCAGGTAAATGGTGAAGATGGTGGTTCTTAAGTTTTAAATTATTGTGCTAGTCACATTGTTATCACTGTTTGGATCTATTTTCTTAAAGGATTACACAGATACTTTGAAACTGTTATGTTTACATTTAAATGTGTGTTCCCTCACCAAGGGCTTCATGCAGAGTCAAATCCTGAGTGGAGGAGAGAGGGTTTCCCAGGCTTCGTGCTGTCTCTAGGGTTAGCAGGTAGCCTGAATTTGGAGCTGAAGAGGTGTTGCTGCTTCTGTTCCTATGAAAAGCATAGGTAAACTCCTTCTGTTCGAGGAGCCATTTAGGAAAGCACCTTTCCAACATTAATAATGAAACATAAATCTGAAGTTTTTGCCCTTTTGATTTAGAGAATTAGGAGATATTGTCATTTTTTGAAGTCATTCTTTCAAAAAGTAGATTTCATTTTAGAATATACATATTATGGTAACCTTTTGTACCTTTTATGTATTATAAATGAAACTTATTAGTGTATGAACGAAATAACAGTAACTGTAAAAATTAAAGTCAGTGTTGAATATGGCAGACATGTTTTCATGTGAATAGGTTAAATTGTATGTTTGACCTTGTAATTATAAGAGTATTTATTCTAATTAGCATATAGAGGTAGAAATTAAAACATAGGTTGCAGTGAAATTGAAGACTGCCCAGATCAAAGACTGATTAAGTTTTCTACTTTGGTAATCAATGAGAATGCTGTTCTTGTAGGCCAAAAGCATTTGATACCTACCTGTTCTAGCATGCCTACCTTTTTCACGGTGACTAATGAAAACAAGAGATGGAGGATTTATAAGGAAATGGATCCACTTGAAAAGAGCTATTAGATAACTAATACGTGAAATAAAATAAACTTTAGAAAAAGGATGACATTATGTGTTTGTCTTGAATGTGAAATTGTTAAAGAAGTAAGCATTTATTGGTGATTAGGATGAACCTAATCCCAGAAAGATAATGGCTATAGGGGGTCAAATGCTACCACCCCTCTTTCACCCAAAGACATGCCAACGTGGAACCCGTGAATGTGACCTTATTTGGAAAAAAGGTCTTTGCAGTTGTAATTAAGGATCTTGAGATGACATCTCCTGGATTATCTTTGAGTGCCTTAAATCCAGTACCAAGGGTCCTCATAAGAAAGAGAAGACACAGAAGAGAAGGCAGTATGAAGACAGAAACAGTGGAGTAACACATCTGCAAGCCAAGGAATGCGAAGGGTCGCTGGCAGCCCCCAGAAGCTAGTGGAGAGAGGAATGGAATGGATTTCCGCCCAGCCTCTTGAAGGAACCAACTCTGCAGATGCTTTGATTTTTGGACTTCTGACTGCCAAAAGTGTGAGAGAATAAGTTTCTGTTGTTCACAGCCACCAGGTTTGCGGTAATTGTTACAGCAACTAATACAATGACGTTTAAGTAATTTTGGGGGGATGGGGTTAGTAATTGGCAGAGATTAGGGGTGGGAGCAAGAGGAATTTGGTAATTTGGATATTTACTGTGTCTTGAATGTGAAATGTTTTGTGTTACAACCACCAGAAGGTAGAATGGTCCTATGAGAGTACTGTTTGGTTTGATTGGATAAGAAAAGATTGATTACACTAAAGCAATGAGGGTGATAGTTTTAACTTCCTCCATCTTCTTATGGAGCACTGCACCATGCCATATGAGGTCTAGAAATTAGAACTTTTTCCCCAATATATTTAGGTTCTTTAGGATCCTTTTCAATAATGGATGCATTAATTAGAACCCACTTTTTGTAGATTTGATTGAAAAGAGTATATTTTGGTTCTTCTTTTAATGCTATGAAGCTTTTTTTTTTATTTTTATTTTTTTTTTGAGACAAGATCTCTCTTTGTTGCTGGGGCTAAAGAGTATATTTTGGTTCTTCTTTTAATGCTATGAAGGCTTTTTTTTTATTTTTATTTTTTTTTTGAGACAAGATCTCTCTTTGTTGCTGGGGTTAGGGTGCCGTGGAGTCATCATAGCTTACTAGAACCTCAACCTCTTGGGTTCAAGTAGTTTTTCTGCCTCAGCCTCTCAAGTAGCTAGGACTACAGGTGTATGCCACCATGCCTGGCTACTTTTCCTATGTTTTGTAGTTAGGGGAGTCTTGCTATATTGCTCAGGTTAGTCTCAAACTCCTGGCCTCAAATGATCCTCCTCCCTCAGCCTCCCAAAGTGCTAGGATCACAGGCGTGAGCCACAATGCCCAGCTGTTGTGAAGCTTTAAAGTTCATAGGTCATAACATGTTATGTAGCATTGAATATTTTAATGAAAATGAATCTGATTACATATGAGGCTACATATTCACATTTAGATAAAAACAGGTATACATAGAATTTTTGTTCACTTTTACATTAGTATTATGTTTCTTAAAGCACCCTGCATAAAGCCTGTTTTTTGAAATAGCAGAGAGGTTTGTTTTAAATAAGCTTTTATATGTATTACCTAAAGGAGCTATTCTGAAATTTTTATG